AAATACTTAAGCAAAATTCCAACAGACGTAAACGCGATGAGTTGTGGGCCAAAAACATGAAAAATGTCGGTAATTTCGGACGCCATTTCCCCCGCGCGACATCCTCAAAAATCCTCGCAGCATGTACGCGCGTGTGCCTCAGGCGATGGCGCAATTTGTTCTAAAAATAGGGAAATTGTCCCGTATCATANAAAATTGTCCCATATCATGGGGACAACCCCAATACTAAAAATGGCGCGCGCTTACGGTCTCCGCCCCCGATTATGGCTCCTGTTGCGATCCTATAACCGTTATTTTTAGGTAAAAGAACAGGACACGAGACTGGGAAAGCAAAAGAAAGGAAAGAAGAGAAGAAAAAAGAGTACAAAGTGGGAAATAAAGTGAGAGAAAATAGCAGCATAATGAATAATGAAAAACCTTATTTTTTCAGTATTTTTAATCGCCCAGTCACTTGAACATTTCTTTTTCAATCACTAATCTACGTGGACCAGCAAGTAAACGAGAAAACTTCGGAAAGATCTTAAAAGTGCACTGGTCTGATTTTCATCTCAGCTCTGTTGGCGGAGTAGTAATGTCCTTTCCAGTGATACCAGTTGACACCATCAGCATTTGAGTGTTTTCCGTGATGATACAGACCGTTCAGGNATACAGACCGTTCAGGGTGGAGTGATGACAGTGACCGTACCACCAGGCTCCTTTAGCCTGCAGAGCACAGTTACCGCCGCTGTCGCCGTCATTATCCTGATCTTTGGTGGTAAAGGGGCGACTACGATGATAAGAAAGAGAATCACCAGCAGTTCCTGAAAACAGATCACGAACATTTAATTGCGTTAGACATATTCACATAGTCACATGCAATGCTCTAAAAACAGTCAAATCAGATTATTTATCTGTTCATTTGCAAAATCAGCAAAGAATAGTTGTGCTATGTAACCTAAATTGACTGTGATCATTAACATTGTAAGGTGATCATATTTCCTTCCATTATAATGAAACAAAGTTACGCCTGCAACTAAATAGCGAAGTAATAAAGGAAGAAATCAATAATAACAAATAGAAAAACAAAATACGAAAATGTACCTGAGTAAGTTCCAAGACTCAGCTGGTACTTAGTCCTCTCGCT